ATAGCTGAGATCTGGAAACAGCCCAAGTGTCCACCAGTAGACGAATGGATAAAAAAGATGTGGTACATATACACAATGGAGTACTATGCAGCTGTAAGAAAGAAAGATCTCTTATCCTTTGAGACGACATGGAGAGACCTGGAGAGTATTATCCTAAGTAAAACAAGCCAAGCATAAAAAGACAAATACCACATAATCTCACTTATATATGGAATATAATGAATACAACAGTCTGAGGAATAGGGTAGACCCAGAAACACGGAAGTAGGGTACAGACTGAACCCTCAGAAGAGGGGGTGGTGGGGGATGGGAAAAGATAAACCACATAACTTATATGCATGTATGCATAACCAATGGACATGGACAACAAAGCCGGGGATGGGGAGGAGGGTGTCAATGAGGTAAAAAAGAAACATCTGTAACAAAAATAAAATTAAAAAATAAAATTAAAACAAACAAAAAAAAACCCAAAAAATGGGTGTTAGGACGAGTGAATAATTCACCTGGGGCTGACTTCTTGGAGGATATAAATCTAATATGCTTTAGGTATTCTTCATATTAAAAAAATTTGGACCCAGAAATTCTTTTGAAAAAGCCTGTAACTGACAGCTTGTGTTTTATTATGGGGTCCACTACTGTATGGAAGTTCTTTTTTCTTTTTCTATCCTCACCCGAGGACATTTTCCATTATTTGTTCAGATAGAGTGGGAAGGAGAGAGAGAGAGAGAAACATCGATGTGAAAGGGACACATCGAGTGGCTGCCACCCGCACGACCAACCAGGGCTGGGGACAAACTGCAACCGAGGTATGTGCCCTGAGCGGGAACCAAACCCGGGTGTCTCTGGACCACAGGCCAATGAGCCAAACCGGCCAGGGCTGGAAGTTCATTTTTAATATTACATTTAATCCATATAAAAGGCTGTCTTCGTGACCTAAAGGTAGGTGGTCAAAAAAAGGGGTGGGAGAACATGTGTAATATTTTCAATAAAAATAAAATAAAGCACAAAAAGCCCCAAACCTAAAAATGTTTCTTTATGGGTTTTTTTTTTTTTTTTAAATGTCTGTATTTCCTTTTAAAAGTTTAAAATACGCCCCGCCAGTGTGGCTCAGTGGTTGAGCATCAACCCCTGCACCGAGAGGTCGCCGGTTTGATCCCCAGTCAGGGCACATGCCCAGGTTGTGGGCCTGATCCCCAGTGGGAAGCATGCAGGGGGTGGCCTATCGATGTTCTTTCTCATCGGTGTTTCTCTCTCTTCCTCTCCTTCCTTTCTCTCTAATCAATAAAGAAAAAAATTTTTAATAAAAGTTTTAATAGTTCAATAGTAAAATGATCAAAATACCAGCAGGCCATACATGGAAAATGAAAATGTCCAACTTGCAAAAGGATTCTATCTCACTAGGAATCGGGGAAAAGAAAACAAAAATAATACATTGCTTCCCCCAGTTTCCACTTTCAATATTGATTGCCAAATAGCATGCTGAAGTTCCTGTTTCTCCGTGACTTCAGCAGGTCTCAGCTGAAGGTCTCGACTGTCATTTTCCGACTACCAGGTTGGCAAGTTGCTTTTATACACCTGCAGCATGACCCATGACCCCGCATCAGATCATTCGCGGTGGATTCACTGCCGGTGTCTCTGTGCAGAGCCGGGGCTGCAGGGCCCTGGGGAACTTGTGAACTCTCCCGGGCAATGGGCTGGTAGTGGGAGCACTGTGTGTGTCCTACCTGTGCAGTGGCCTCTCCTCTTGCTCCTTCCCTGCTAGGGTGACGAACCGCAGGCAATTCAGATGGCTCAGCTACAAGTTGAGACCCCCACACCCCCCAGACGAGGTCCCTGCAGACTGCACATGCAGCGTGAATGAGCAGTTAACACTTGCTTGGCTGACCAGCTAGGGTTGCTGCAAAATAAAGCACCGCCGAAAGTCACAGGTGTGACTGCTCTCTCAGGTGCAGCCCTGGAAACAGAACTGCTGGGTGTTAATACAGCATCAGGGAGGGGCTGGCACTCCCTGCGCAGCAGTTAGTGAAACCTAGCCTGCCCGCTTGAGATACAGAAATAAAAACGCTTCTTCCCGGCAAGCAGCTCGGACCGAAGCTAATGTCACAGCACTGTGTTTCCCTTGTCCTATGCTGCGCGCTATGGTAGCCACCAGACACTTGAAACGTGGATGGGTGACTGAAGCACTGAGTATTAATTTATAATAAAATCTGAAGCAGTCTAAAATCTTTCCATTAAACACAATTCGTTTTGGTAGGGCTACATCTCCTAAGTGACAATTTAGCATCAGAATAAAAACAAGCTGTAAGTCAAAAATATACACCAGATTTCTAAAGACTTTATTAATATGTGTGTATACATAAGCATTTCAATAAATGTTATGTCGATCAAAATTGTGTACATAACATTTTGGATGTATTGGGTCAAATATATTTCACTTCATCGGCTCTTTTTGCTCTTTTTACTCTTTTTAATGTGGCTACTGAGAAAGTTGAGATTTCATGGCTCACGCCGTATTCCTGCTGGACAGCACTGCTCTGGACTGAGTCCAGATTCCTTAGCACATCTCATCCCAGCCAGCTTCTCATCCTGACCAGCGTGTCTGCTGCGAGCTGGACCTCAAGGCCATCACGCTGAGCGCAGCCTGTGGCCGCAGAAGGCTCTGCATGCTGCAGGACAAAGGGCATTGCAGACGCGAGGGCGTGCCAGGGTGCCTGCGCCTCTGCCGGGTGCCTGGGAATCGAGTCACTGATGAAACGTGGATTAGCGACTGCCGCGTCCTAACTATCTGGCTGAGTCAGTCTCTGCTCAAGTGCCCTCTTCCTTTCCCACTGCAGCCCCCCTGGGGGTCCATGCCTAATACAACCCCTTCTGGCTTTCACTGCTCATTTGCTCTCTCCTCTCCCCTCAATAACCAGAGGCAACAACTGAATAGACTCCATCTGCAGGATTAGAGGACAATGACGCGGTTCCATTCAGATAACCATCGGCCCAAGGGCTGCACTGTAGCAGCTCCACCTCCTTTGTTTTCCTCAGGGTCCCAGGTCTCCCTTCCCTTCTGGACTCCTCGGATGCTGGGAAGGAGAGGAAGGAATCAGGCGGCCTCCAAGTACCCTCGCACCCACTCTTCCCACCTATGTGTGCGATCAGTTCTACTTGGACAGATGGCATCCACAGAGCAGCTGCACTCACGTGGTCCATCGAAGGGGCCCCTCAATGGCTGGGCACTCGCACCCAGCCCCGCACTCACGTGGTCCATCGCAGAGGCCCCTCAATAGCCTGGGCTCTCGCACCCAGCCCCACACGCGGTCCATCGCAGAGGCCCCTCAATGGCTTGGGCACTCACTCGCACCCAGCCCCACACGTTCTCGGATGAGGCCACTGACCACAGGAGGAAAACTGACACTGCTGCCCAAGCCAGCACCTTGCAGGTTTCAGCCAGGGCCTAATAACGAGTAACCTGGCGTCCATTCAGGGTGGCTAGCCAGCAGGGCATTGGATTCAGAGCAGAGCCTGGGGGCGCAGGCCCCTGTGTGTCCAGTGACGCTGCCGGGCCTGCCTGTGGTTCAGAAACACCACACGAGACAGGCTGCGCAATAGACACACGTTGCTTCACGTTCGAAATGAAAGGGCACAGAAGCGTTTACGGTTGCTTTATTTAACAAACTGTACTCCACTTCTATATCTCTAAATCAACGTGTTTCAAAAACAGCAGCACACCAACTGTTAACACGGCCTCTAGGAATGCCTGGAGCAGGCGAGGCGAGGGTTTCCTTGTGCGCACGAGGCCCGTGGCGGGTTCAGTCTTCGAAGGCCGAGCGGCACCGCGCCGCCTTCTGGGACAGTTCTACGGCAGGCCCCAGGGCAGGAGGAGTGGAGCTTTCGAGGGTCAACACACTGTGTTCAGTTTAGTTCAAAAGCACTTGGCCCCTAACTGGGACTCACAACATGGTTTGGGGCTGGGGATAAACCTTTGAGTAAAATAGAATCTATTAGTCATCTTTAAAAAAAACGCTCCCTCTTTGTCATATCATAAATATAACAAGATCTTCTCGTTTCTGTTCCCCAAAGGAAAATCTACTTTAAAAAATAAGCGTAAAATGACTCATTAGTAAGTGCTAGTAGCAAAATGTAGTGAGTAGAGGTCCTTCATAATTGTGGTAGGGAAGAGAACCCAACACTGCACACAGTTCCACCTTCTCCACCGGCACAGGTGGTGCCCGTTTCATAACCACCTGCACGTGAACCCCGAGTTCCTAGCGTGCTTCACAGGGAGGACCGGTTCTGCCTCTACACCCCAGGAGCCGTCCTCATTCCTTCGCAAGTACTGTCATTCTGACAATCCCCCAACGTTCAGCTACGTGATCTACGCGCAGAAGTGATCTCTGCACGGCACACGCCGCTTTAGGAAATACTTGGAAAAGAGCTGACACTTCGTGTTGATACAACACTGACTTGATTCCCGGTTCTCTCTCCGGAAAGCCACTGTCCAAGCTTTCAGGAGTGAGGTGACTACGTGAGGTACAGGAGGAAAAAATAAAAATCACAGCCTGTTCTCCTCTTGCATGTCGGAGGGGACGCATCTGCACACGGAGGAAGCTCCGTGACGTTCTCCTTCGGTAGTTACGCGGCCCAAAAGCTCTGCTGCCCAGAAAGTACCAACTGAAATGTGTGTGGACCACATCCTGTGACGAAATGATCCGCGGGGTGGCCACTCGTTTGTTCACACAACTCCGACCCACACGTCCTGCACTTTTCTCAAAGTGAGATTAGGCCATTACAAAAAGGTACTTCCAAAATAAACTCTTTCTAGAATATAAAACATTTTATATTTTCCAACCCATCTACTTCCATTAAAAAAGTCAGAAAATTCGCTACAACAGTTTTCATATGGTAAAAAATATTGGGAAGTGTACATATACATATATACACATAAAAATCCAAATTTTAAATTTCAACAAAAACGAACCAATTAATCAACTCAATGGTCATGTCCTGAATCGCACATGACATGTTCACCACCTGTAATGAGAAACAACTACAAAGAAGAATTGCGACCCCACCTATCAGAAGATCATCTAAGACTTAGCCATGTGGGGGTAAAAGAAATACCAAGTCTCTGATTACCCAACACAACAGAAATCTGACTCAGGTCTTTCTCACTAACATTCCCCAGCTGCATCCAGGACACCAACACAGCTCAGCACGTCCTGACTCTGATGGCAGAGGGGGGACAGGAATGTGCTCGGCGCTGCTTCCTAGGAAAATGAGCACTAGGGAATGCAGGACTGGGGCTCAGATCAATTAGAAGCAGATTGTTCTTGTCAATGAAAACCCGGGTTAGTGTTCCTATAACCTTCAGATGGTGGGACATTTCCGTTTTGTTCCTTCCTGCTCATTTGCACAGGGGAAACTTTAAGGGCCCTCAAAGGCACAAAGGAAAGGGACAGAGCGTGAGTGGGGAGTTATCTTATTGCACAGGAGGGCCTGTTCGGAGGTGGCAAAGGAGAGTAGGCTGTCACGCTGGGGGGTGGGGAGGCAGTGTCTGAGCCGTGAGTGATGGAGAGTGCAGCCTCCACCCCCGTCTGTGGGTGAGTTTCCAAAGAAAACTCAGTCACGTTGGTCACACCTGTCGTGACACTCTGACCTGGCATTACCGTCCTACCGTCCCAGGTTTTACCTATGCTTTAAGAAGCCTGTTCATTCACTTTGTTCACTGGTTACTTTGTTTGTGAGAGGGGTGAGGACAAACAAGAGACTTAATCTGAGATATTTTCCCTCTGTGACCATTTCTTTTTTATTTTGCAAAAAGGCACATTCCCTCCCCAGTTTTCATAAATCGAGATATTCAAAAAAGAACACAAAAGTTTAAAAATGTTTTCTTCTTTCCCTAACACCCACTGTGGAAGTGGCAGATTTAGGCAAATCCTTACATTCTTCCGAACAGCCCAAAAAGCACAGTTCTCTGTGCTACAAAGAACACTGACGAGGACTGTGGAGGGGCTGAGGGGTTGAAAGGAATGGCCACTTTCCTGCACCCAAATTAAAGGTAGCAGTAGAAAATATTTCCGTTATGTATCAAATCTCCAGGAAACGAGTTAATGCAAAGAAAAAGTGGATGGGCACACCAAACACGGGTTTAATTCATCAGTAGCACTTGTTAAACGAGCATGTATAAAACACTAACCTCACCCCTTGAATGGATTACGAGAGATCTGCATCTACTCAGAAAATGAGGTGCTAAACAGAAAAGTCTCAGATCCCACTGAAAATCTGACAGTTTCACTTCTGTCTAGAAAAATGCATGTACATACGTTTGTGCGTACTCTTTCAGGGGCTTCGAATCCCTTCCAAGTTCTAGTCACATATCAGGTTAAACCAGACTCCTGGTCTCAACATTCCTACAAGGGATCTGAGGAACTAACGACCCACTGCCACAATCTGGATTTCTCCTACTGGGTCAGGGATGGGAAAAAAGAAAACAAAGACAAATCCAACACTAACCAGAATGAACTAAAAGTAAGTAAAACAATTTGTTTCAAACGCCAGATTTTCACTTATTTGCCCTTAGAAGAAAGAACATCCCAATCTCTGGTTGCTTCTATCAAATGCCGCTGGCCGTGACTCATCCACTCTTCCTGGTCTTCATACAGCCGTCCACAAAACCAGCACTTAAATGTACACTGTGAATCATCAGGCAAGGAGTCCACCACCTGGTAGTTGTTTTTATGAACTTTTTTAAGTTTCATTTTCAACATCATTTGCCTTTTTATCTGATTGGCTTCCTCCATGTTTTGGTAGGTCAGCCGAACATGATGCCGCCTGATGCCTAACTGACACCTGGTCCTCTCTGATAAGACAACTTTGAGGACATTGCCTTTGTACTTGTTTATTACCTTCATCACATTGGTCACTTCTGGCGAGTCAACATCAGGATGGTTTAACACAATGACCGGCTGGTTCCGACGGGGGCACTTAATCAGCTGGTCCGGTTTAGCTGCTATCAGTCGAAGCTGTCTTGCAACCTGAAAAATTGAAGGATCCTTGAGGCAGCGGCTGGGATCAGCCTGAATTTTGCTTTTCTTCTTGGATGAATTCACTTGCTTGGTTTTATTTTTATTTATGGGGAGGCTTCTGGAGAGCACTTTCCCTTGCTTACTCAATTCACTGCTTCCTTGCTGACCATGCAGGGGGCCAGTTTTTCTGGGGATGGTGCTACAAACAGCACTCTCTTTTCTTGGTTTAGGCCGAAGAGATGTGTCGAGGTGATGGGACATGTCTGTTGGCCTACTTTCACTTGTCGGAGACTGTACGTTTGGGTCTGTCTGCTTCACTGGACAGAACGGAACAGGTTTTAATTGTGTCTCACTATAAGGGAGGTTGACGGGGGCTTCACATGTAGCCTCTATAATGTGGGCATCCTTGGAGGAATTAAGGACCCTCAACACTGCCCCTTTGGGGATCAACACTGGTGTAGCAACATGAGCCTTCCTGCTTACTTGGCTTTCGGTTTTCCCTTTGCTGCCTTCTACAAACTGTGGATACACTTGCTGGCGAGTAAGCTGTCCACGAATACCACCATCATCCTGAGGTTTTGAAAGAGTACATGTGGAATAGCCAGTGCCAGTAAATGATACATTAATTTCTCGAACACCTTCAGGGGTAGCCTTCGACGTTACCCTTGATGCCTGCCCCATAGGACGGCGGTGTGCATTATTTGCAGCCAGAGATGAGGGCTTGCCACAGGATTCAATTAACTGAGCAATCTTTCTGCGCAAGAGTTCAATTGACTTTATTTTGGACGTTGAGCTATTCCACTTAACGCCCTCAGGGACGTCTTCAGATCCAGAGCTCAGAGAAAATACCGATGAGATGACTGGGCCATCGAAAGAGTTATTAGCCCTTTCAGAATTCTTTAGTTCCAAAGGTTTATCCCCAGGCTGTTGCGATCTGAGTCTGTCTTCTCCTGCTATGTTTATGTGTAAATACTCACTCTTACCACGGCAGGAAATCGGGCCTGTGTTTGACGCTGCCTTGTACTCCTCTGCCTGGCTGTCTTGCAGCTTCCCAGTAGAGGGAACCATTCTTACAGGAATGCCGATCTCACTTCTGGATTCCAAGTCATTTTTACTCTCGGGCAAAAAGCCCCTTTCTCCAGAGAAGGAGATGGCTGGAGGCGAGGCGGCGAGAGGAAGAAACTGCTGGGGGTCGCTGTGCAAACGCCTCCCATCTTCAGTAAAAGAAAGAGCAGCTTTATATGGAAAAGGATTTGGTGCAGTGCCAAGACCACGTAAAACACCACTGTTCGCTACAGATGACGGCTTGTGACCTTTTAAGGCAACGGGAGGGAGAGCAGCTTTATGTGGGTACATATGACCTTTTGTCTGCAAATCCTCAACTCTAGCAGACTTGAGAAGGGATTCTCCACGGGTGTACACACTAGAATTTGACATGAACAAATCGTAAGACCGTACCCACTTCAAATTTTTAACTTGTTTCTGAACCGACGGAAGGTGATCAAGGCCTCTGAGCTCTCCAACGCGGCCTTCGGGCATTCGTGACTTGGCTGGTTCTGCAGGAACCATTTTTCCTTGTTCAGCTGAACTCTTTTCTTTAGTCCTATGCTCAGAATGAGCCCTGTCGCCCCCACCAGCTTCTGGGCTACTGTTCTCTTCCAGAGGAAACAGTTTCAGAACAAGCTGCTGCGTTCCATTGACGACCTTCACGTCCATCAGCTGGGCTAAACAGTTTGCGGGGACCACGAGCTCTGCCGGGGCCAACACGGTCAGCGGCATCCCGGGCTGAACGGGCTCCGTGGCCGGGGACAGCACCTCCACCTCCACGCTTCTGTTCTCCAACGCACTGCCTTCACTTGGCTCCGACAGGGGCCCTTTATTTGGAATGCACACCACGTCTTTTTGGTACTCCATGGATTCAGGTACCAGCGTGATGCTGCGCACCTTGTCTTTGCTTGTCTGGAGGGAGAACCTTGCCAGTTGATCCGGCAACTTACTTGGCAGTGTGGTGCCTGGATCGGAGGCTTTGAGAGGCTCCGCGTGTTGTTTTGACGTGCTGGGCCTTCTGGGCTCCAGCTTGGCAACAATTTTGGGTGGCCGTTTCCCGCCACACTTCTCGTGAACTCTCTTCCGGTGCTTGACGATATAGTCATTTCTAATGGCCCCGTAGTCGCAATACTCGCATCGGTACGGGAATATGCCCGTGTGTTTCACCAGGTGCCTCTGGAACTCCCCCTTCGTGTAGGATACGTGGCTGCAGTGAGAACACAGGAACTTGATCTCCTCATGCTGGAGCGTGTGCTTCCGGTACTGCAGCGGGTCCTTGGTGGAAAAGCGGCACTTGTCACAGTAGTATTTGCCTGGCTTGAAGTTTCTTACCTTGAATTTGTTGCTGCCAGGACTGGCGATGGGTTCGGCGTTACTTGCTAGGTGAGGAGCGCTGGGGTTGCTGTTCCCGAAAGGAAAGGCGGGGGGAGCCACCCCGAGGCTGCACTGGAAGCACACGTATGTGTCCTCCTCGGGGCTCTGCCCGGGCCCCTTCTTCAGATCCTGCAGAGGGAGCTGGTGAACACGCCTGCACTTGACACACGTGGCGGAGGTCGTGACGGCGGCCTCGGCCTCCGAGCCCTGATACAGAGGGATCTGGGCTTCCTGTCTGTCTGGCCGAGTGGCCCTATGCGCATTAGGTTGTCTGGGAGACATGGTCAAAGAATTATGTCCATCATTTACTTGTGAACTGAACAAGGGCTGTCCGATATCCTTCATCTTCTTGCTTTAGTTGCATTTCTACACAGAGTCCATTGGGACCCGGGAAGACTCCACATGCTAGACTCCTTTGGAGGCAGCCTTCAACACACGCTCCCTGGAAGACACGTGGCTATTTCCTGGGAGCATACTGGGCTAGCTTTTTCAGATACCACCACAGAGATGCATGGCCCCCAAATAGGACTGTTTCCAGTTCTCTGATACTCCGGGAAACACTAAAGGGGGGAAAAGAAACCACAGAGCATGATGAACACTCGAACTTCAGGGTTAGCTGAGCTATTTCCAAACTTACCCGCCATCACAACGACCTTGGAAAGTCCTGCTTATCTTAATCCCATGTTATCTTAGACACATGATAACACATAATATAACTGAGCTGGCAAATTGAGACATCAACCGAAAACATTTTCAAATCAGCCTCCAAAACTTATCACTTTAGACCAACCATAAACATGGACAAGGAGGAAAAAAATCACAGCAATCATTCCGAAGAGCCTCTCCTCAGTGACAGTTATTTTGAAATGTCACCGAAAGCATCCTGGCAATGTCACAGGTACAACTTCACATTCACCTCGCTGGCAGCTAGTACAGTACACTGTCATTTCAGCTCTTAAACATGTGAGGCATCAAGCGGCACGGCTTCAGATCGGGGTGCTGTTTCTCCTTGATAGCTGGTGAGCAGCCTGGACCCCAAGGCTCCCACGCACACACTTGGCTTGCTCCCACACATATTGTCAATACTGACAGACTCAGGCATTCATTCATTCCTCAGCATCTTCCTGAGCCTCGACTGCGTGCTGGGCACTGTTCTAGTCTAAGTGCTGCAGGGCAGTGGCCCAAGGCAAACCAGTCCCCACCTCGTGAGGGAACATGGGGAGGGAGCAGGTTATGTATTTATTTGTCAGGCAGTAATCTGGAACAGAGCACCATAAAGGCCAGCAGGGGGACAGGGAGTAACTACGGGATGACGTTTAGGGCTGGGTGTGGCGGCGAAGAGCCAGAGAAGGCCTGGCACCTGAGCAGAGACTCCAGGGCAGCCAGGGACAAGCATGTGGCTGTTTGGGAGCAGGCGCTTCAAGCAGAGAGGCAAAGGTCTGTGGCAGGGAGGGACTGAGCCAGGACGGGGAGCGAGGGAAGGATGGCAGAGAGCGGGGCATGGGAGACTGGCCAAGGCAGGATCTCAGCAGTGTCACAGGATGTGGTGTCTCCTCCACTTGGGACAGGGCCAGGGAGAGAGCAGAGCAGTGACGGACCCCATCTTACCGGAAGCAAGGCCAGTTCCAGCCCCCAGCTGCTGAGGGTGGAAGAGGCACGGGGAGACCCGGCTGGGACAGCAAGGTGGCCTGGACTGCGATGTGGAGGCAGATGTTTTCTCCAGCAGGTGCCACAATATGTGCAACACAGTGGCCACTTTCAGAGAAAATAGTTAATTATTTTTAAATATACCTGCTTAGAAAACCCAGAATGGACAATTAGGACTAAGCAAAAACTGGTCTACTTGGGGATCTGTTAAAAACCTTTCTTTTAAGACCTTAAAAAACCACTTAAGCCTTTTCAACTTCAATTTCTCACTGGCAACTGAAATTAAGAGCATTACCAACCTCCCACAGTGCAGAGCACTGGGGAACGCTTCTGAAGTCTGAGTGCTTCTGGGCGTGGGGGAACGGGGCACTGAGAGGCACGCAGGTTCTCAGAGATGGCAGCACCGTGCGCGGGTCAGCAGCCCCCCTCCAGCACCCTAACAGGCCAGGAGCCCTGCGGCCTCAAAGGCCTGTCTGAGGGAGCACGTCCCTTGCAGGGTCAAGAGAAACAATTACGGCACGTTCAGATCTAGCACAAAAGCTGCCCTGCACAGCATTTTTGGAAAACATGAGAAATACACTTGATACCAAGCTGTTTTCTTTTGCAGTGTGGTCTTTCCCTATGTTGCTTTTGCAAAAGACAGTCATTCCCAGTGATTCCCAGTGTGCGTCAAGCCCTGGTAGCTTCCAGGGACTCCGTCAGATGTGTGCTCCCCACGTGTGTATGGAACAGACGTCAACACTCATCTGGGTGACTTCTAAGTCTGACGTCGCTGATCCTGAAGTCACAGACTTTTTATCATGAGGAATTCTACTACTGTCAGCGTGTTCCCATCAGCATGTTCATCCTTTTACAACAGAGAATGCCAGGGCTGCAACCAAAACCTGAGAGAAGCACAAGGCCCATTCCTGGGCTTCATCCCTTAGGGAGTGAATCTACATACGGGGGTGGGGCATTTGTGTTAGTAAAAGCACATCAGGGAAGTTAGATGAAAGTCGGTGTTAGAAGTCACTGTTGAAACTTCCAACAATGTCTAAATCCTTTCAAAAATCTTCACCGCTGCCCATGCCCTTGATACTCTGTTATTGCCATAAATAAAACTCCTTTCCTGTCCAGCAGCTAATTTTATCGTGGTATAGTTCTCATGGTCAAGAACTGACCCTTAAATGAAACTAAAACCAGCCGCCTTGTAACCTTCTTGTAACTTTCTTTCCTTGTATCCTGACTCTGGAACTGCTGACAACTTGGTCCCTCTTGAGAGACTAGCTGTGGACACGCATCTCTCTGCTCTGATCCAGTCCTTAGTCCCCAGCTCTGTTCAAAGCTCTGCACATCACCTGGCCAGTGTGGCTCAGTGGTTGAGCATCAACCCATGCACCAAGAGGTCCCTGGTTCGACTCCCAGTCAGGGCACATGCCTGGGTTGTGGGCTTGATCCCCAACAGGGCATGCAAGAGGCAGCCAATCAACATCTCTCTCTCATCGATGTTTCTCTCTCACCCTTCCTCTCTCAAACCAATAAAAACATATTAAAAAAAAACCTGCACAGCTCTCATACCAGCCTAATAATCCTACTAGTTCCAGAGAGAGAAGCGAAGGGGGAGAAAAAGAGAAAAACAGAAGAGGGGAGAGAAAAGTAGCAGGCCTGCGGGGCACAGCTTGCTCCCCAACTCTTCCAACTCAACACCTGACATGTTAGAAATTCCCAAATCAGTCATGTAACGAGGTGCCTGTCTCGTTACATCATCCACGCCAGGATTCCATTCATACGTTTTCAGGTTCCCAGCACCATTCCCAGCCTCCAAGAGTCTTCAAAAGTCACAGAAAGCAGGTTTGCCATTTTTTCTCCAGGTCCTTTTAAAACTTGGGGGGTGTCATGCCTCCTAAAACTAAAAACCTAACATGCTAAGATACTGAACGATAAGATCACATACATTAGCAAGAAGGGGAGCATGTCCTGATGGAGTGAAATCCCTACAGAATGAACCAAGCCACCTGCAGCGCCCAGGAATGCAGGTGCCCCCGCAAAATCATCCTAGCAGTGATTTTGAATTAAAAAATCCATAGGGACCAGTGCCAACATGAAACATCAAGCCGTGATTGGCAGATACAATTTATGGGGACGGAATTGGAATAGGCCATGAATGAACGATGTCACCAGTGAGGAAGTTATCTTCTCGACGACCAAACCATTCTCAAAATGATGCAGTGTTTCTGCACTGGCATCTCTTAGTCCAGGTGAGAAAGTGTCAGCTTCTTTCAAACAAGCAGACACATTCTCTTTGGCCTTTGCAACTTGTGTGGCTAGTCAAGGGGAGGAAAGACCTCCGATGTAACACCCCAAGTCAGAGGTGACCGGACCAAGTGGCACGGGAGAAGTGGGACAGCTTTGATAAGGACAGCAGCAGGCGCACCTGAGCAACGGGCTCCTCACCCCCGTCCCCCCACCAGCCAGCCCTGTCTGGTTCACATGCAGCCATAACCGGCGGGGTCCTGCTGGCCAACGACTGCCCAGCGGGCTGATGGCCAAGGATCAGATAAAGGCAGCCAGGAAATGACCGTCACCATGCTGTCCTACAGGGTTCACCTGCCCTCCAACTCACAATGCTGTGGCTACAAAGCCCTGCACTCAACTGCCTACACTAGAAACAACCTTCTAGAGAACCTGGGAGGGTCTCAGACACAGGAAATACTCCGTGTTATTAATTTCTGACACAATAATAAGGTGGCCACTTACATTAAGGTGTCTGTTTCTGAAGAGCACAGAGCAAGCTTTTTTTCAATCCTCACCTGAGGATGTTTTGTCACAAGGATGTTTTGTCATCTACCTTCAGATGGGGTAGAACTGACGTGAGAGCGACACAGAGACTGGTTGCTTCCTGCATGACCCCACCCAGGGCTAGGAATCCAACCTGCAACCCAGGTACGTGCCCCTGACCGGAATCCAACCTGCAACTCTTTGGTCCTCAGGCCGAGGCTCCAACCGCTGAGCCAAACCGGCCAGGGCTAGAGTGAGCTGCTTGATGTAGCATCACCTGCAGCGCCAGCCAGACCCAGCCACACACAGCCACACACAGCGGCACCAACGCGCGGCCTCCACACTGTCCTGTCCTGTCCTGTCCTGGGAAAAGGCCCAAGTGCACTGCTTGCTGCTGCTGGGTTTTTCTTCTGACTTGCAGCTCACTTGTCCAGGTTTCTTAAAGATTATGGGGAAGCCGTGGTCGGTTTGGCTCGGCGGTTGGAGCGTTGGCCTGTGGTACAGAGACCTGGGTTCGGTTCCCGCCAAGGGCATGTGCCTCGGTTGCAGTTTGTCCCTGGCCCTGGTTGGGTCAGGGCTATGCAGGAGGCAGCGACTCGATGTGTCCCTTTCTCGTCGATGTTCCTCTCTCTCCCTCCCACTCTATCTGAACAAAAAATGGAAAAATGTCCTCGGGTGAGGATTAAAAAAAAAGATTATGGGGACATACGAAAGACAATGCTGACTTGGGAAGAACCACTTCAGTGACACTGGGGCTATAAAAACAATAAAGGACTATATGTGTAAGTTATTTAAAAGGAATCATTTGACTTCTCAATACTGAAAACGTCCAGTGTTCAACCAAATCAGAAGAGATATTAGTACAACAGTGTTTGAAGCTACAGGTTCTGGGATTACAAGGCTTTAATTCCCAGCCCTGCCGCCTTCCAGGTGGCCTGGGACAAACTGTCTCTCACTGTTTGGCAGAGAAGGAATCACAGTACCTATACCTCACAAGACTGCCAGGAGGATTCAATGTGATAATGTGACTAAAAGTACTTAGACCTAAGTTACTCTCACATCATAAAGTGTTCAAAATAGTTATTTTCCATTTTTTTTTTAAGAAAAAATAGAAGAAATGATGCCAATCACAGAAAATAGTCAAAGGGGCTAAATAATGGGCCTCTTGGCTGCCTGGCCATGCTCTCTCCATAATATATACGTAGTCTCATTTTATCACTTTAATTACATTTGCTCGACTGTACAGCCTAAGACAATTCACCTCTTGGGCAAAACCATCCGGCCAGCCTGATGCTTAGAATTCTGATGCCAGGCGCTTAGAATTCCTACGGAGAAGGTGCCCTCACTGCAGCTTAGGTTTATAGAGAAGCCAGTTACTACACTGCCTCCCCGCCCAGGGGACTGTGCAGTGTCCCTGCAGCGAGCGAGCGGGTTTCCGTGCTAGAGGTCCACGTGCAAAGGAAGACGAGCAGCTGGCCCACCACGGCACGTGCCCACTAAAACCAGCATCAGTTGGCTGACTGCATCCTTTCGGGACGGAGAGCACATTCAGGCAGCTCTTTCCAGAAACCCTTTCACTGTGGCTCCTGCCTCCCCCGTCCCGGAGGCAGGGCTGTGTGCCCATGAGGAGCAAAGGGGATGGAGTTCAAGGCTTGCAATCCAACCTCGGAATCTACACCTTTGCTGGGTCCTTAGGCAAGTGATTTCTCTCTATTCATTGTCAGGCAAGGAGTCAGGCTTTGATGTCCTCAGACGCAAAGGATAATGAAGAGAAACAAACTGGATGATGCAGGCCAAGCACTCAGCCTGGTGGCAGAGGCGTTAACAATCGCACCTGTCCCTCTTGTGTCTTTAGCTTTCGCAAAGGCTAGTCTGTTTTTAAAACATTCTACCCCCAAGTGCTCAGAAGCATATAGAGAGGTACGTAATACCTGATTGGGGGGGGGCGGGGGTGATTCTAACATTTAGTATAAAACCTTACTATTTCCCCAGTAGGATGGTATTCAGGAAGAAACTTGCCTCACTCAGCAAAAAACTTTTTCAGACCATTACTAAGAATCGGAACTGAACTGAATGGTAAATGGATCTAAAGAAGGAAAAACATTGTTATCAGACTCTGTCTGCCAAACTGCCTGTACTTAGAAGTAACTGAGCTGCAAATGGGTGGCCACCCTGACAACAAAAAATATTCCGAACGCTGCTGACAGATGTACACCCTCGGGATCCTAGCTTTCCTTCTGAAACCAGGGGTTCACCTGGGGCACAGAACGGGGCAAGAGGCTGGAGGCTGGACAAGAGAGCCCTGTTCGGATGCCTTGCTGGCCAGGTGAGAAGGTGACGGTGGAAACAGCGATGACCCTGGAGCAGGAACAAGGTTCAAAGCCTAGGTTTCTGACTCAACAGCTGTGTGAGGCCAGACTTGCTAACCTCTCTGAGCCCGAGTTTTCTCATTTGTAAAATGGGAATAAATAATGGCTAATGTATACACGGCTAATGTAAGGAAAAAGTATATGTGCAAATGGTGGGTCACCTTACATGTGGCAACCAGTACATGTTTTGTCAAGAAATACGTCGACATATTTTTCTAAGACTCCTTGGGACATAGAAGAGTCCAGTAATCTCTCGAGAAGAAGAAAACGCTTAGCTAACCGAGGGGCCTGATGAGATAAAGACTGTGGTGGCATTCTACAGCTGAAGTGAGGGCCCCCCACCCCCGCCTACAAAGGAGTCACTTTGGGTTGGACTTGACGCTGCTGAACATATCAACTGAGACTACTCCAAAAAGTTATTTTATGGTTTAAACAGAAAAACAGTTTAAGAGGAAACCCTTCAAAAGAAAGAATATGACTAATGCTGGCGTTCTTCAAGTCTAAAACTTAGAGTTTTTATGTGGAAAAATAAACGTTAAGAAGCAAGTATGCTCTTGTTGGCATTAAAAAAGACCAAGTAAAAAACAAGGTAGCATTCACAAGCAATATTACAAAATTCTGTTATTAAACACAGCTAGTGACTTCAGATCTCTAAAGGTGACAACCTTTTTGTATTAACTTCTTGTTTTGGCCTTTGGGAAAAATCAAAATTTCATTAAAAAATGGATTAAGAGTTGAATAAAAAGTAGACTCAAACACAGCAGAAATGCCTCCCAGAAAACTAGTGATTCTCAACCTTGCCTGCATTAGGGTTCCTGCCTTTCATAACAGATCCAGGATGTCACCCTTATTTTTTTAAAGAGATCCCTGGGATGGCTGGGTGCCCTACTGCATGCCAAATTACCTGGGAGGCTGCAAAACTAATGCTGCCTGGGCCCCCTGAGTGGTTCTGAAGTGCAAGGTTGAGAACGAGCACCTGGCATGCCAGGTGCACAGAAGCATGCAGGAGCGGCAAGAATAGCAACATCCTGTGCAGTCTTTTAGATGCCTAAGCCACCTGTGGGTGCCCAGAGGTGGGACTGGGCCACGGCCTTGGACTGTAATGAGGTCATCAGGCAAGTGGACTCTGGGTCCTACACTTGCTTAGCCATGTGACCTTGGAAATATCATCACTGGCGCTCTGTGAAGTGCGTAATGACAGTAACCACTTTGTAGGCTCTTGGAAACGTCAACGTTCCCAGCACAACAGCTGGCATGGTGAGCACAATGAGCACGTGCGGGACTGTTTCACTCCCACACCTGCCAGGGGCTGCTGTCTTTAAGGAGTGCAACAGGAGGTGGAGAGAAGTAAATGCTGCCCCCGGGGTCTCATCAGGATGCTCAGTGGCTGGCTGTTTGTCAACCTTACAGCACCCTGGCCCAAGTTGGGCAGGAGGGTACCTGCAGAATCAGATTCATACATCACCTCAATACTCCTCAAAGTACACCTTCAATTACCTGTTTCCTGTAAGATAACAGGTCTGGAGAAGCTGTGTGGCTTTTCTAAGGTCAAGGCGTTGGTCAGCTGGTGTCTAATCGCAGTCCTTTGTTTGCTGCTGCCCTTGGTGTGAGGCTGTGAACTGAAGTCACAGAATCTGCTGTGCTGGGCACAGTTCTTCCTTCGGGCCTGGAGCCACCAAGCTGCAGATGTGTCAAAAGCACGGCGAGTCGCAGGGGCTCTTCCTTGTCTTCTCAGGCACCCAGGCCCATCCAGTCTACTTCAGGCCCTGGCACAGGCTTCTGCACTCAGAGCCCCGGGGCAGCAGGCACGGCGTGAACAGCCCTGCAATGGAAGCCAGACACTTGGGTTGAAGTCCCAGGCCTGTGTAGCCTTGGTTTCTCCGGGTACTTTTCTTCCAGACAAAAGGGGATGAGCCACCAAAGTACTTCTCAAGCAGGAGTGTCAGGCAAAGTCACACAAGGAGCTTAAAATAGAAAAAAGGCCTCCAGCACTCCGATGACCTACTGAGTCAGACTGCCCTTCTTCCCAGGTGATTCTGATGCCTCCCCACCCCTCGATAAGAATGTCTAGATTAGATGATCTCTAGCCATCTTCAGCTCCAAGGATGGATCCTGGAAACTGCACTCAGCTGAGTTTGAATACGTGAACAAAGAAAATGCTATCTATGCCAGGCAGCTAGAGAAAACTGAGCCTGGAAAAACCTCACTGGCAAACACAGTCAATAGCACAGGGCATGGCCACAGAAAGTACTTATTACATACTGGTTGAATGAATGAATGAATGAATGAATGAGGGAATCAGTGACAAAAGGAAATGTCAGCCTTTATGGCAACAATAATAAAAAACATTCTTTGTTCTTCCTCTTGCACAAAAACAGACCCAGGTCACCTTACTTAAAAGCAAATAGACATGTTTTAATTTTTTTAATTGCTATCACTGAACTTTTAAAAATCTACATTAGTTTGGCATAACACATCAGGGAGGAGGCCCAATAAATAAAATAATGTCCTCTTCCTTTGTTTTCAAAAGGCACTAGCAGCGAATGTCATCAGCACAAAACTGGATACATACAAAAGTTAACTTTTCAAGGCTATGTTTAGAACCCACTTTAAAAGTAACTTTTTAAAAATGCATCCCAGAAAACATCGATATCGTGCAGTTTAAAAAGTTGAACATTCTACTTGCATTCTAGTACTTAAAGAGACAACACGATGCGGGTTTCTAAATAACCATTTGCTGGGCTTCGAGAGCCCTTGGCCAGTATCGCCGGGTTTGTGTGCACACATCACCTCCCGGCTGGACTCTGCGTGTGTGACTCAGACAGATAAACACTCCCAGTCTCTCTGCTGTTCTGTGGGAAAGTCCTTCCACCTCCTGGAAAACAAGTTGTCTTATTCTAGGTGACACTAATTCTAACGTAGGGGACAACGTTAAAGGGTTCTAACACAACATTACAGTTTAGCCATGTAGGCTTTTGTTTTTAAACAAGACAAAGTGCTCAGCGTCTCGGATTTTATTTGATAATGGTAAGTTGATGCACTCTTTTTAAAGTTGCGGGTATTTTAATGGGATCCGTTAAATACGCATCACACGTGCAAAACTGAAGTGTTTTTCATTCTCTCCCTTGGCTTTCCCCTTCCGGTCAAGGCCTGTTCATCCTTTTGCATCGTGTCGTTTCCCTGGCCTGCACTGCCCCCAAACCCTAAGGGAACAAGATAAACCGGCGGCTGGAATGAGGGAGGTCCCACAAGGAGTGACATCAGCATCTGGAACAAGCCAGACCTTCCCCGTCCATCCTCCCCTCTCCCCGCGCCAGCCAAGAGGCGCAGGTCCTCGGAGGAGAAGCCCGTTCCTGGGCACGCCCCGAAACACCCAAGGAAAGACAATGCCAGTCTGGTTTTCAAGTTTATTGTTGGCACACTCACACCGAAGGCACACACTCCTCGAGGCCGTCCACGTCCAAGAGCGCGGGTGCTGGCGGGGCAGCGGTGCGATGGGTCACACCGTGCTCTCCGGGGGCGGCCGGGCCCCTCGAGGGATCGCGGGGGTGGCTTCTAACTACTGAAAATCAAAACACGTCAGCGCTTACCTCACAGGCCCGAAGGAGGCTTTAAAAATGGCCTCCTGACGACACTTCCTGCTCGGCCGACCGGTAGAGACGGTCCCAGGAGATGCATCATTTAAAACACAGGGGGCGGCACCGGAGGCCGGCTCGCGGCTCCACACCAGCGCCCGCAGCCTGGACGCCGCGCCACCCGCGGCCACCCAGGGTCGCACCCGGCGCCTGCGGGTCTCGGCGGCACAAAGGCGGGCGGGCGGGGGGCGCCGCACCCGCACCCCGCCGCCACCCGGGCCCCTGGGTCTGCCCGAGCTCTCCCCGCACCGTCCATGCCCGCCCCACCCCCACCCCTCCGCCCGGCCACTCGCCCCCTCCCCTGGCACCAAGCCTGCACCAGCCCGCCCGGGGCCACCTGGCCAGGAAGCTGCAGACGGGGGTGGGCAGCTGGGTACACACACAGGACCGGCCCGCACCGCTCGGCCCGCCCCCACTCGGCGCGGCCCCCCGCGACCCTCCTCCGCACCCAGACCCCGCCGACCCCGCGCATTCGAACCCGGAGCCCTGGACTCCCGCTCAGCCACTCACCAGCTGGTCCCTGCCCCGAGAGGGGCATCTACAGCCCCATCAGAGGCTGCTGCAGCCGCCGCCGCCGCTGCGCCCCACACCCGCTGTAGGTCCGCTGTAGGTCCCTACTCGGGGGCGGAGCCGCGGCAGGCAGCGCGTGCGCAGTGCGCGGAGGCGCCGCCGAGCGGGTTCCCCAGCCCCTAAGGCTGCGCGAGTCCCTGCCTGGTTTCAGCTGCGCAAAGGCGAAGACTCAAGCCAGCCCTGTCCCGGCTGCGAGCTCCCCAACGCCTCCGCATCTGCTGCGTGCAGGGACCGAGCTCAGCCTGGATGTCACAGGATCCGGGAGCCTCGCCGCGAACGAATGCAGAGCTGATTCTGCTTCCAGTGTTGGTCCAGCGGCCGGTTCGTGGGCACCCTCTCTGTGCTGTGCTGGGTCCAAGAGGAGGGCGCATTTGTCCCCTGCCCTCCTGGAACTTAAAGTCCAGCAGCCGGGGACTGAAGGTGAGAGAAAAGGAGTCGGATATTCATTTCCCCAATTCTTCCTCTCTCTAGAGCAACAGTGAATGAGATGGGCTAAAAGTCGCAGGTTCGAATCCCGACTCCTTTACATCCTAGCTCCGGAGCCTTGGGCAAGGAAGTCCCGTGGCCTGAGTCTCAGACCGAAAGCCTCGTCAGTTATGTAGGTGATTGTGCAGGTCAGACAAGACAAAGATTGTGGGAGATTCTGGAGATGGTGTGAGCGCGTTCTTCCTGCTTCTTGGACTCCAGCACCATTTCTGGGAACCTCCCCCCACCCCCACCCTCACCCCACCCTGCCACACGCTCACTTATGTCCTTACCGAAAGAAGATGCATTTGGAATAAACCCCTCGTATAGGAAAAAAATGGGCCCATTTTGCTAGAGTCCCCACAACCAGTGATGCAAATGCCTCTCCCTACAAAATAAAATTGCTCCCTAGTAAGGGTAGATTGTGTCACTGGGAAGCACAGTTTCTCCAGGAATATCAGCTGAATGTTTATTTCAAAGCTCCGGAAGGAGCAAGGCTGGCTTCCCACACCTTCCTGTTGGAGGCCAGAGGTCAAGGTGCATGGACATCCAGAAGCAGGGAGGAGGTGTAGGGCTGAGTTCTTCAACATGGAAGAATGGAATTCAGGGCACAGTGTCAGCCACAGGATCAGCAGCAGGATAAAAATGTCCCAGACTCAAATAGCAAGAGCTGGGCAGAGAGAAGGCCAGCCGGAGATCGATGGCCAGCAGCAGTTTCTTCCCCCCACTCTTTGCTGCAATATCACCTCATTGCTGCTAAGGGAGCCCCCTGGTCCTCTGTCTCCAGGGCTTAGAGCAGCTAGTGGATGTCTTCTCAGAAACATACATTTGTGTACAGAGTTCACATCAGAGAGAATAGGACAGAGTTCAGAGTCTCCCTCAAGAGTGAGGTGGGCCTAGGAAGGGCACTGAGAATCTAAACTGGCTGCTGCCTGGCTATTTCTAGTGGCAAAAGGAGCCAAAAAAGGAAAAACTGTTAATAATTCTAAGTATTGGAGAATCCCAAGTCTGAGATTTTTTCCTCTAAAATTTAGCCTAAATTGTTGCCTTTCTTTGTCATTTCCACCCATGCTCTTCTCACAGACAGCTCTACTCCCTCTTGAGTCAGACAGAATTCATGGAAGACCCTCTGGCTTTCCTGACTATTTCTCTGCAGTTAGAAGTGGTTCTAAATCCCAGCTGAGCGTGAAGCTGGGAGCCTGCTCCCTGACCTGTCTGAACCTCATTTCTCATGTACAGGTCAGTGAATAATAGGACTGATCTCACAAACGAGTCCTGAACATTAACCAAGAGAAAGCGGACAGGGCTCAGCACAGTCCCTGGCAGATAAGTAGTGCCCAATAGCTGTTTTTTCCTATGCCTCAGGAGCCCAAATTCAGTGACATAAAATACTTCGTGAAGGGTCAGGAAATGGGGTGCTGACAGCCTGTGAGAGATACAAGCAGGGATAGAAACCACTCCTGTGGAGACCCTTAAAGTTGAAGAATTGTTCCCTAAAAGGATGCAGGGGAAGAATTATTTCTGGACATCCAGCCAGTGCACCTTTCCTGCACTTAGGAGAGCCCTTCATGTCTTCTTTCCCATCTTCCAGCTTAGTTTGTCTAAACTTGTTTTTAGTGTTCCATGGATCACCTCTGTTACAAGTTGAATTATATCCCCCTCAAAAGACATGTTAGAGCCCCAAATCGCCAGTGAATGCAGATGCAAACCCGCACCTGTGAATGTGCACTTATTTGGAAATAGGGTCTTTGCAGACACAGTTTAGATGAGGTCATTAGGTGGGCCCTAATCCCATGATTGATGTCCTTAAAGAAGAATCAGATTCAGAGAAGAGAGTGCCATGTGAAGACAGATGCAGGGAGAAAGGGGCTACTGAAGACAGAGGTAAAAACTGAAGTGATGCCGCCACAAGCCAGAATGCCTGGGGCCATCGGAGCCTGGAAAAGGCAAAAAAGGATACTCCCCTATAGGTTTTGGAGAGAGCAAGAACCTGCTGCACTTTGATTTCAGACTTCTAGCCTCTAGAACTGTAAGATAATGTATTTGTTACAGCAACCCTAAGAAACTGATACAAGCTCCCAGATATGATGGCCTAACATAAGGAAAAAAGAGGAATGGCACATGAACAAAACAAGTCATTTGAGGGTAAGGGCTGGGAGCTGATGTTCACTTACTCATTCAACAAACATTTGAGTGCCTGTTTCTTGCAGACATAGTTAGGTGCTGAGGATAGGATGAGGAACAAGATAAGGCTCTGCCCTCTGGGAGCATTCCTCTGGGAGCATTCATTTTGTTGGGGGTTGTAGAGCTTGAGCAATTAGTGGAATGTATAATTAGGGAGTGCTGGAGACCAGGGAGAAAATAAAACCAGATAGTGTGACGTAGAAGGGAGTGCAAAGCAAGAGAAAGGGTGAACTGAAAGGCTCAGTGAAGGGGACTTAGATGAGCTCTAAGTTGTGAGTAGGAGCCAGTACAGGAAGATGGAAGAGCTTTACATACAGGGAATAGCATGTGCAAAGGCCCTGAGATGAGCACAAGTTGGGCATGTTAGAGGAAGAAAAGGAAGGGCAGTGCAAATTTGGATCATCCTGGCCACTTACACACTGTATGATCTTGGGGAGTCCTTGACTCCAATTCCGCCAGTGAAGACTGTAGCTCAGAGGGAGTACTTGACCCCAAGGTGCCTTGGAAAAGGGCCAGGTCTCTAACAGCCAGGTCAGTTAGAATTTTGGGCTAACATTGGGGGAAGGGAGGCAAAGACATGTAAATCTCAGGCACTTCAAGACAATGCATAAACGGGACACCCTAGGAGGTGACTTTTTTGTTATTGTTTAAAACATTTCAGAAATATCTAGTAATTTCTTTTACCTTAATTTGCTCATCTGTGAAAAAGGGATAAATAAATGCCTCATTGCCCAGGGTCCCCGAGCTCATAGAAAAAGGCCCTGATACTCAAATGTAGTTCTTTCAGTCCTCGGACGCAGGGAGTGGAGGCTGCAGAATCAAATCTTGATCTCATTACTCATCTGTTCCAGCTGTGTGACCTTGGGCAAGTTACTGCCAGTCTCTGAGAGCTTTTCTCAACAGTAAAAGGAAGTGGAACAATTTTCCCATGGGAGTTGTTGGGGAAAAGGAGGGCGCCTGAGGCTAGGCTCAGGTTCCAGCCGCCTTGCCTTCTTTCCTCCCCGGCGTTGCTCACGCCCTGCTCCATCCCTGCGCAGGGTGGGATGCAGCCTCAGCAGCGCACTGGGCGTGCGCAGCTGGTAGAATCCCCGGAGGTCCGCCAGGACGCTGGCCCCGCCCGCAAGCGTAGCGTGCTGCAGTACCGCCAATGGCCTGTGGCGTCGCTGCGCAGCTGGCCGTGCTGGCTCCTTCGTAGAACTCTACCCGGTGTCAGCTCGCTCTGCCAGCTGCCAGCCAGCGCTCACCTGGCTCTCGGGGCTGCCGCCTGGGCTCCCTAGCCCATGGCCCGCTGTCCTCGCTCCCGTGAGAATTTCGATGGGCTTCTTCGCTTTTGTGTCGCTTATGCTGCAGACCGGAGCGGAAGCGGTGGGGGCTGGACTTACAGCGCTGGCGAGAAAACCGGGGACTCCGTGCAGCGCTGGGCGCCGGCCTTAGGCCTTCCCTTGTGCAACCCTGACCACTGTTTGCAACGCTTACGTTTAATCAAGTGCAATGGTCGTCCTGGAGGATCACACAATGCCAGGCACAGAACCCGGCTTCCAACCTTGTCTGAGCCGTCAGCGTCCCTTGTCTAGACCAGGGCTAGTCCATGCATGGTGGGGACAGGGATTGGCCCCCGCATCGGTTCCCCAGGGAGGGAACGGGTACAGAAAGGAAGATGACCGTTTAGAAACGTTCAAAGCAATTGGGCATGGCTGCGGGATCAGCAGAACAAGTAAAAGAAGATGGGTGTTGTGTACTGACGTTCAGGGTAGTCACTGCCAGCTCAGGCCGCATCCTGGTCCCAAAGTAGTAGACGCGGGTAGGTTCAAAAGGGATGGCAATGGGGGAAGACCTGGTCCTTCAACGGAGAGCTTCTCCTGCCCTACACTGCCTTCCAGGATATCTCTTACCGCCTCATCCTAGCCCGTGCTCTCTGCCACACTGGGCCGCCCCCTCTGCCCAGCTGGCCACTAGGCTTCCCTGTCTGAAGACCCCTGATAGATGGCCCACCAGCACCTACCATCAGTTTAAGATTACAGTGGTAGCAGAGTTTTCTAGATGCTTCCCCAAATCTGTTTCTCCTTTTTTTCTTGGTAGTAACCCTCCTCCAATTTCTTGCTGCTCAGGAAAAAAACTCAACTTTCAAGTCTTGCTTGTAGCTAGGTGTGATTATCAATGGGAAGTGAGTGGAACTAGAGTATATCCAGAAGTGTCCTTAAAGGAAAGGACATGCAACTCTGCCACTTTCCTCATTCTGCCTGCTTGAATAAAGGGATGAAGAGGCAATGGCTGGAGCTTGAGCAGCCACATGGACCATGAAGTGAATACAACTTGCTGAAGATGGTGGAGCAGTAAGGTTTATCAGGGAGCTTGAGTCCCTGATAATCACCGAGCAAC